TATTACATAATATAATATAGTATAATTTATATATATATATACAGGGTGTCCCGTGAGGATTTACTCATTGCTATATCTCCTGAAATAATGGAGATATCGTAATTATGTTTTTTTATTAAGACTCGCAGAGGTAAGCACTACAAATATTTTATTTTTTAATTAAATTAAATTTTTTAGTAAAAAAGTTAAAAAAATTATTTTTTTATTTTTTTATTTTTGAAAAAATTGAAGATAGCCATTCTATAGAGTATATTTTTGTGAACATTTTGAGCTTTTAACATTTTATTTTCATTAATCTCATGATTTTTAATATTTTTTTTAGCTTATTAGTAAAACGTCAATAAACTGGTTTTTGTCCGGGCGGCGAGTAAATCCTCACGGGACACCCTGTATATATTATGTAGTATTACACTGTTTGAAATTTTTTTATTTATTTTAATTTTGCATAGTTTTATATAATTTTATTTTATTTATTCATGAAGTACCTACATAAATGTGTTATAAAAACCACTTATATGATGATTAATAAGCAAGGTTTAAGTGACATAAATTCAAATGTATCTTTGCGGAGAGAGGATCAAGCAATTATTACTAGACAATATTTTTAAAAAAAAGCACGCACATTGTAAAACAAAATATATTCTTTTCTATGCTCAAAATCTAAAAGGTTAATGAGGATCTATCTCCTATATTTTCCGTGGGTAGGCCCCTTAGGGGGAGTAATTTTTTTTCACCGCGGCTTAGAGGGCGCCAATTTCTTTTTGCACCGGGGCGCAAAATGTCTAAATGTGGCACTGCTTATAGGCCTATCCTATCCTATTAATATTAATTATTATAAATGCGAAAGTCTGTGACTTTGTTACTCTTTCAGGTAAAAACTACTGAATGGATTTTAATGAAACTTTACAATAATATAGCTTATACATCAGAATAACACATGGGCTACCCTAGGTCCAACCAGAGGATGTGCTCAAACGGGGATTTAGAGATTTATGGTGGAAATTTTTGTTCATAAACGGTTGCCATGGGTTTTAAAACTATTATAATAATAATTAGGTATTGGTTGCCTTGAAATAAGTGTATTATTCATTCAATGCATTTAATTTTTTTGTACGCTGTGTTATGTATCACAATTACGTAAATATTGAGCGTATTATACTCACATATTAAATAAGTTACGTACTTACATGGTACATAAAACAATCACGATGCCACGTATTCGTGGACGAGGAGGAAATATTGGTCGACAGACTTGGCATTCACAATAATTAGTCCAACCGTTTAGGAGGAGTTCAGTAACATACTTGGTATAACTTTGATACTTCAGAGTTAAATTATAAAGTTACTTACAAACATCAAGGGGTCCTCGATCTACCGAAAGTAGATTTCCTACCTGATGAAATAGGTACTGCTGCGAACCAGAATTTTTATTCCGGGCAACGGAAGAGTTAAGATAAATTTTGAACACCGTACACTGAATATTAAATAACGAATTGAACAAAGTTTGAGTCATATATAGAGTTAATTCATTTAACGGGTAACGAAGTGCACGGGATCAGCTAGAGTATATATATATATTATTATATAATTATTATTTATTACATATGTATTTTATTAATTATAATAATTATAAATGCATAATATACGTAGTGTAGTGATGTATTATCAATATACGCAAGATATTTATAATCAATGTCATAGGCGCAATTTGGACAACTGTTTTGGGGGGGGGGGGCTAAATTTATAAAATCAATACAGACCCGCGTAATTTTTTTAATATCTAGGTGGATTTATATATTTAAAATGTAGGGTGGCTTAAATAAAACAAGGGGTGGCTAAGCAATAATATTCCAGAAAACTGATCTGAACTCTTAAGAATGTCTGTTTGAGATAGGTCAGTCTGCATTTTAAGATTTCTGATTTAAATTCCGAACAAATCCCCAATAATCAACATTTGAAAATTCTGAAATTTCAAAATATTCAAGTTAAATTTTCAGATGTTGGGGGGAGGGTGAAATTGGAAAAAGTGGACTGACCAATCTCAAGTAGACATAATAACGAATTCAAATCGATTTTCAAAAGTATTATCGCATAACAAGATCGATCAGTATGATGGAATAAAAATTGGATGATTTGGCTAAATTAACTGTTTAATACCTATATTATTATAAATTATAGTATTTCGTCATGAACGTTTTTTCCCGGCTAGCCCCGCATTGTGCCATAAAAAACTTAGTTTCAAAAATTAAAACTTCTACACAATTGATTTGCTTACTTCTGCAATAAATTTGCTTATATTTGCTAACTTTTGGTATTAGTTTGTTGTACTTTGGATCGTTTAATAACTATAATTTAATGTTTGTGGGCCAAGTTCATGTATGTATCAAAATATCGGTAATTGGAAAAGAAGGTAACTGAAAAAAAGCAACGGAAAAATAGCAGTCAAATTTTTGTTTTTTTTTCAAAGGATTTTAATAACGAGATATTTACAATATTTTACTTAATCAGTAAGATGCGTGAAATATACGTTATTTTGAAGCTTAGCCATCCCCCCTTTTTCCCTATCATCTCCCCCATATTGATGCAATATGCATTTAATTTTAACTTATTATATATTTTTTACAATTTTACCAATAAATAACAATAAACGTGAGTACTGAGTACGTGACTTATAATATAATGATTTTATACTAGTATAATACTAAACCCTAAATTATAATATTAAATTATTATTTATTACCTAGGTAGGTGGTACTAATTATATATTTTTTCTAAATAATATTTTATAATTCGAATTATTACTTATTAGGTATTTAATATTTTACAAAAAGGAATATCTTATTTTAGGTCTGTGACGTTAGGAAAAAAAATAACTATACTGCATATTGGTTTTTGTCATACTCATACCTTTACGTCTTATGCATTTTAGATTCTGAGTGGAACGATGAATGTATTGATTTTATAATGATGTGTGTATTTTTCTTAATTTTTTTTATTTGTGTATGTGTACACGATAAGTAGTAGAAATAATGCTTCGATTTTCAACTTCAGTATCTTGTTCGACTGGAAAGTGAATATCGTTGATGCATTGGAGAGGTCAAAATTTAAAATTCTCAGTAATTTTAGAAAGCGCCAAGAAAAATTAACCAAAAAAAAAAACAAATTTTGATAATCAATTAAAAAAATATATATATATAATATAATGATGTATAGTAAATATTTTGTTATTTATATTTAATATTATTTATGCCTATATAACATTTTTATCTATACCTATTTTAGATTAAGAAGAATTAAATAAAATACAAATAATAGTTGTTTAGAAGGCAGATCTTTAACAATTTTTTTACTTAAGTTATCAGTACCTACTTTCCTTGTTCTTTTATTTCATTGGTTTTTACTTTTTTCCACCTGCCTTTTTTTCTTAAGGTACGGTTTCGTTAACGCAGTTGACTGCATGACTGGTCTGAGCACCAGTAGTCTGCAGTAGACTGCACCAGTATTTTGTATGACTGCTGGAGTCAACTGCGGAAACGAAACTGTACGGGGACATTGATTTGGAATAAAAAAAAGGGTATTAAAAAACTGTTTTGGAATAAAAATACTGATTTGGTATAGAATCTGAGACTGGGTTAGTGGATGTTATTACTAAATGTGGTATATCCCGCTTAGCAAATGGTAAATAAATAATAATGCTCGTTGCAAATAATTATGCGTCTGATTAGTGCATGTTGAAGTCATATTTTACGAGGAGTAAGGATATCTAAGGATACCTCCTCCCCCATAATAATCCATCATACCATTTAAAATGTTATCTCATTTAATCTTATATTTAAAATATAATATGCATGTACCTAACTATATATTGGTATTATAATGTTCATACTATTAGTACATACTTTATTAGCTATTACACTTGTTAACCATTGTACTAATAATTAATTAACTGAAGTTATGTATAAGTCTACATTAAAATATGTTTTATACATTTTATTGAAGTATTTTTCTCTCAAGAAATAAAAAAATATTAAATTTAGTCCGCCCCACTCACTAAATTTTGATTTTACAATATTTACAGCAAGGGTAGAGAACACACATAATCTTTGAACATACATGGTTGATAAAAATAGTAAAAAAATATAGGTAGTAAAAAAAAAGCCAGTGTATATAACAGATTTTTAATATGAAAACCAAATTAAAAATAAAACATAATTTTCTATAATACAAAATATTTCATATCTTCATAAATAGTACATTTTCACATTTAGGTAATAATAAAAATCTAAACAGACTAGTAAAGTAGATATCTTAGGTACAATATAAATAAATTGGTTGGAAGCCAATAATTCTTTAATATAAAATATGTAACAGATAATTAATATCAAAATAAAAACAATAACTAAATAGTATGCATAAAATCATTAACAAAAATAGGCAAAAGAAAACAACCACATGGCAATGAAACGTACAAGGAAACTTAAATATGTAATTATATAACAGATTTGTTAACATTTTATCACAATAACTGAGTAACTTTTGTCAGATTCATAAAAATATATTAATAGCTAGTAAGTAGTGATGGATACATGTAGTAGTTATTTTTTTGGTAGGTTGTAGGGGTAATGTGGTTACTCGATAAACATACGAGTAAAATATTTGATCGATAGTTAAATAGTTTTTTGTCATATTTGTATATAACATCTAACATGTCATGGTTAACTTATACCTACAAATCGAGTTTGATGGGGGTTAACATATTGTGGTAAAATTTGTATACAAAAATAAAACAAATTACTTAAATGAGGAAATAGTCGTATAATTATAATATTATAATTATCATACTATACCTCATTAAAATAGCATGGTGAGCTCTATTCAGGAAGTAATAATAAATTATTTATACCTAACATAGGTAAAGATTAGTATAGGTCAGGAAAACTAAATTCATTATTCAAGTCTTATTCGTCTTGTATCTGAGGTATCCCCAGTGCAAGAAACTGTCATTTCAGCAACATTCGACGCTGATGTTTACAGTCTTCAATGGCAAACCTAAAAATTTAAATCACATAATATTGAGCATTAAAAAAAAAAATCCACTCTTTAAGAAGACGCTACCCGTACATTTGTTGTCTCTGTCTTACACACGCACGACATACCAAATTGTCGTTCACTAGTTTCAATAGTATGCTGTTAGTTTTGATACTAGAGTGCATTGACCTATTATAAAACTTTTAGGTAAGAACATTATTTGTGCTTAAGAGTTGCTGATTTTTCAAAATTTTCATTTTCAAACAAGATATGGGTACCTATGCGAATTATCAAAAATTAAAAATGCTCATACCTCGCTTGAAAATTAAAATATCAAATAAAAGCCAACGCTTAAGCACAGATAATGTTATTATTTAAAAAATGTATAATAGGTCAAATCACTCTAATATCAAAACTAACAGCACACTACTGAAACTAGTGAACGAAAATTTGGTATGTCGTACGAGTATAAGACGGAGACAACACATGCATGGGTAGCATCCTCTTAAAGAAAATATTAATTACACAAATGTATTAAGTCTAAGGCGCATTATAGAAAAAGTATTTTCTAGATAATTGATAGCGATACCCAATAATCTAAATGAATATTAGAATTCAACATAAATCGACCTATTATTTATTATGTAATATTTTGAGATCATAACATTCTTTATAGTTGGATTATGTCTTCAGTTATCTCAAATTTATATACTTTAAATTAAAATTTAATTAATTAATTTTTATAATTTATAATTAACTATTACATAATAAATTGATTTTCAATGAAAAATTAAAAAAAATGTTTCAAAAAAGTGTAATACATATATATTATATTCTGGTGGATGAGTTTACATTAATATTAACTTAAAGCTCGCCGTTTTAGTGATAAGTAAATTTTGTTTTGGAATATAAAAATGTTTTAACCATGATAGTGCTGCATATTTATTATACGTGAATATTATTACTTATTATTTATAATTTGCACTAATTTTGTAACAAAGCTTAAGTTTGTATTGCCTTACTTGTACATGAAATACGCGTTTGGGGCTGTTGCTAAATGCCAGAGTGAATGCGCATCAAATGTCCACAAAAGTGGTGGAAAATCTGCTAGCTCTAGCAATGAAGCCAATGTCATGCCAAGTACGTAAAATATCAAATATTTACCATGGCCCATTCTGCGACGATTCAACACTGCCCATATTAGCATTGCTGTGCCTGTTACAGCGCCTGTATTTTTTAATGTTAATTAATGTGTACAAAATATTGCTAATCAATTTCAATACTCACCAACGAGAAGATTAGTTGTCATGTTGTACTTGTAATCATATTCTGTAGTAAGTAGATATAACGAATGATAGATAAATGCAAGAGAACAGATAACCATAAATGTATTCTTTACAATTTGATTACTGTACAATAGAATTCGATGACCAATCGTATAAAATGCAAATAAAACCATAGCATAAGCACTAATGTAGTCCATTAATTCAGTAAACATAGTGTCTCGACCATGGAATACAGCTGACCAAAACCAACAGTTTGCTGATACCTAAAAAAATATACATCAATAAAAATAAAAAATAACAAACCCTCAACTTTTACTTAATAATTGTAAATTCCACCATATGCAATAAAAATAGAAAATTATTCTACTCTTTAATTTTAAATAACTCTAGAATTTTATTATTGAAAATTGTATATACAGTGAATTCAATTTCATAGAAAAATTATAACTTATAATAAAGTTATGAAATGATTAATTTTTTTATTGTTATTAAATATAGGGTATAGCTATAATATAAATGAAGTTACAACTTACAACCATTTTAATGTAATTTATTTATAAAACAATATACCTATTTACAATCTATACAAAACATAATGTAATAACTAATAAGTAAGTCAGATGACAAATTTGACAATGGCGTTTAGGTAAGAAAAGGAAGGCTCCAGCGGTGCCACCTGACAAGTTTAAGTTAATATTGTTATGCTTTTAGCAGGTTTCTGGGCCATTGTCTTTTCAACCTTCTGCGTATGAGAGTGGCAGAGGATAGTCTTTTTATTAATGGATTATAATGTGAGTACCATTTAAATGTATAAACTCATGCAGATATATTACAATTAACATTGAGCCACAAAATTGTTGAAGGGGTCTTTAACATGTTTTGATGGAAATGGCCACTAATTACTTATGCCTCCTATAACCGTGCCTAGTGGTCATGTATATTTGATTCAATTACAAAATATTGTAAACACATATAAGCGCACATTAATATTTAACAATATAGTCAAATACCGTTAAAAAAAAATTAATTTGAATTAATGACTATAAGTTAGGTATACTATTTACACCAATAACTGTAATAATTATTACTCACTTAAAGTACATATTAGTATATTTTTATAATGATCTTATTATTTAAATTTTAGATTTATATTGCATACCTATTACCTACCACAAAAAGATTAAAATAAAATGATCTTTTTCATATTTTTATTTGAAGATATTTTTTAGCTAAATGTTATTAATATTTAATAAATAAAATTAATTTACCAATGTGTATAGAGACCATATATTACATGATGGTAAAGTGAAACGAATTTGCTCTTTGAAACGGTTGAACATTACCAAATTCGTTATTAAATTTAATAAAGAAAAAGCTACAGATGCAGGTTCTTGTAGACCAAGTAGTCTCTTAAATGGCCACTAAAAACAATAAAAGTTAATATTTGAAATAGATATTGTACAATTTGATAGTTCCCATGTACGACCTTTCCGTGAAACTGTGGAACTGGCCAATCACGTTCCACCAAACCTTCAACCATTGGCCACATGCAGTCATATTTGCAGTTTTCAGAACATTTCCATTTAAAAACTTCTAAAACTACAAGACAACAGCTTCTCTTGTATCTTACTCCATCTAAATACCCATTATAACATCAGTTATAATATAAATCAATTATTGTGTTTGATTAAAACTAAACTATTTACCCTTGTCGCATCGTTTTTGTGAACATTCTACAACACAATTTCTGTAAGATGGGAAGCTGTCTCCCAGTGAACAATGTCCAAACACATAAGTTAATGCCAAAATGGTGAACACAAATAAATATTGTGTCATTTTTTAAATGTTATAATGATGTTGGTCGTCGAGCATTACTGGTTATGTTTCATTGTTTCATGACTAGAGAATGTTTGATAAAAATACCTAATACAATAAATTAAATATAAAAAGATTTAAATAGAAAAGCGGATACTTAGTTCTAGTATGTTTGTTAAAAGTAGTAAGCCTAAATATTGACTAAATTTGATCGCCTTTCGGTGGCTAAAATATTTGTAAAATAAAACAAGTAATAATAATATTATTGTTATTATTGTATTATGTTTATAGGTAATCACATTTATCACAATATCAGATATCTTACATCTGTTATCAACGATCATGTTTGATGATAAGTGATAAAAATGTTGGTATTTTGCATAGAGTATTTCTCTAAGGTATTTTGCCTTATAAAAAAAATCACAGACTTACGATGTATTATCTACATCGTGACTACACTGTTAGAGATCTGTGTTAAAATTTTGCGAAAATGCGAAATTTTCCACCGCGGTTAGGCTTTAAATTATTCTAGGTTTTTTTTTTGTAATTTGTCCAAAGTTGAACTTTAAAATGACTATAAAAATAAACTGTGCTTATGTATTTTTTAGATTTTTTGGTAACAGATTTGAGAATTAACTACTTACGTGGAATCTTGTTTTAAATTTTCAATCCTTAGAAATAAAAGTTGAACATTTTATACATTTTTAACTACAAAATAATTATTCAATTTTAAATTTGATACATTTTGTCAAAATTCGATCTTTAAATGCTTATAAAACAAATTGTGTCTATGTATTTTTAATATTTTTCAACCCACGGCCACTGGGGGGGGGTGTATCCCCCATACCCTCCCCCGTATATCCGCCACTGGGCTAAAGTGATGGTTACATTTTTTCTATTACAATAATTATCATCGATTTTTGTTAAAATAAATTATAACTCTTAAGTGTTAAGTCATATTATATTACCAATTACCATCCATTCTTTTCTGGATTTTCTCTCTCTCTCTTGACTGCCCCAAGAAAAATGCCACCCGTGGCCGTGTTCGAACCGGCGAAGGTGCGCGTCCAAGCCTTAGTCCACTCGACCACACCGTCCCCCTATTTTATTTATAACACAAATTATTTTATTTTACCACAAAAATATTGGTCAAGTTGCGCCTATGGAAGATATACTATAGTGCAGTTTTATATTCATAATAATAGTTTTTCTTACCACTATTAAAAAGTGTTATACCATCTATTTATAAATCAAATTAAAATTATGTTTTTATTTTTATTTCACATACATGTCAGTCATATTATATAATTTACATATCAAATTAAAATTATGTTTTTATTTTTATTTCACATACATGTCAGTCATATTATATAATTTACATATCAAATTAAAATTATGTTTTTATTTTTATTTCACATACATGTCAGTCATATTATATAATTTACATATCAAATTAAAATTATTTTTTAAATTACATACATGGTCCATAATAATAGTTTTTCTTACCACTAGCCACCAGGCACCAGGCACTATTAAAAAGTGTTATACCGACTATTTATAAATCAAATTAAAATCATATTTTTATACTTAAAATTATTTCTAAATTATGCCACACTACCCGTCAAGATCTCCATTTGTTTACTCAGTTATAAATTTACATTTCGATTTTGTCTGTCTCGAACTTTAATTATATATATCTAGGTACCTTTATTACATTTACATTTGATGAATTTCGTACTCTCAACTTTTTTTTGTGAAAAGTGAATTGGCGGAAAAGGGAATCGAACAATTTATGATTTGGGGGAAAAGGGAAAGGTACACTTTTGGCGGAAACGGGTAACTCCCGCCAGTGTAACGCACTGTACCAGGTATCGACAGACTACAGTAGGTATAGGTACAAACTAATAACACGATATTTATGCCTTGGATTCACTCATTATTTCAAAAAGTATTAATATTTTGAAAAATATTTTTTTGCATAGTTTAAATTTTTTAAAAAACATCTTTATTATTAAAAAAATATTTTTTATCTTGATAATTTTTTAAGTTTTTTACTTTTTTGAATGACAACATAGAGTTTTAATTTCATATTCCAATGCAGAATATTTTTCTATGTATTTTGATTCATAAAAATCGAATTTAGAGCGAGTAGTTTATGAGTTATAAGTATTTAAAGTTTAAATGGGCGGAGTGAAGTGGTACGGGGTTACCCCGCAAAATATTTGTCCTCTACTCCGCTTGTCTTAACTTGAAATACTTATAACTTAATACTTTTTGAAATAATGATTGTTTCATGATAAAATAATCACCTTGTATATGGCTATAATATGTATAACAGTATTACAGTAGGTACCTACCAATGGTAATTACTTGGAAAGTCAGTAGATCTAATAAGAAATATAATGCAGATATCATTAGCTCAACTATGAGAGAGTGCACCGCAAAAAATAAAAACCTTTTTCTATTTTATGTATTCTGATTATTTTGAAGTAAAAATTATCAATAAATACGAAAATGTTGTACTCTAACAGTCTAACCTAACCTAACCTATCTACCTTTATGTACTTCTAGTTCAGATCAGTTAGAGTTAAAAACTACTAAACTGATTAAAAATAATTGTAATGGTATTGTTAATTTGGGTACCTATTATTGAGATAGATTGAAACACACTCCTTTCTGAAGTCTGAACTTACAGTAATTTAAATAATTACAATTTACCAGCAGAAAAATCATGTTAAAATATTTGTGACACTTTTTTTTTCTTAATAATATTTTACTGTTTCACTCTTATTAAAATATAGTATTAGAAATATACATTAGAAATTATTGTTAACAGATATATACAGTGTTATGGGTAAAGGTCTGGGAATTCTTTACAATTTGAGCAACCCCAAAAATATTGGTCTAGTTGCGCCTATGGCAGATATACTAGTGCAGTTTTTTTAATGTAATATAATTATGACTAATAAACATATTATCTTATATTATGATCAAAAAAATAATTTAAAAAAACTCTTGAAAGTTCAAAAATAGCTATTTTGTAGTTATTACTTATTTATTTATAATATGGAAAAAAAAAATTGAAATCGGTTGAATTTTGAATGAAATCAACTTATATATTTTTTTAAATACAGCATAATATCGTAAAACTGTATGGTTTTCACACTTTGATAAGTGATAAGTCTAGTGCTGCTGAGGACTTCTAGTACTCCAACACTTTAAGATATGTATGGACATATAAAACCAAATAAACCTAATATGCACTTAAAATACGCTCTAAAAAAATGTAGGTAGTATCAAATAAAATATGGAACCTAAATTAAAATATTTATGTGAAAGAAAAAATAGAAAAAATTATTATTTTAATTATTTGATACAAACTAACAAACTAAACAATTGTACGGTAATCAACCAACGGTATGCGATAAATTATGACTAACATCTGAAGTTTACTTCCTACAATCCTACACGTGTCGCAATGTCATCGCCCTGATAGTGAATTACTTAACCGATAATTTTAATATTATTTATAGGTCGACTGTAATGTTTTTGTATAGATTTTCTATCTTATATTATATTCAACATTTTCTAAATTTTTACATACATAATATTATGCTCTTAATCTGATTAATTTACTCAAATATGCATTTAAATATTATGTAATAACGACAAAATTTGAAAAAAATATTTTATTATATTATTATTTTTTAGAAACATCGAGAACTATACTTATTAGATACACATATATTATTGTAATCACCAATTTAATGTATGTCCAGATACGGTTTTGAACGGTTCTTATGTTTTCGTATAATGTTTGGACAGCTTTGTCCTTTGTAATTTTTTGTTTGCTTTGGTTCTTTTTAATCTAAAAAAAAATTAATCAAAATTTCATAATATTTGATAGATTATTATAATATCAAATAGTTTTACTAGAGTTTTTAAATTTGTTTAATACACAAACCTACAAATGACCGCATCTCAATTTTCTCGCGAGATTGTAATTAGGTGCACTGAAATAGACTTCTATAACAAATAACAATAATTATCATCGATTATTGTTAAAATAAATAATTATAACTCTTAAGTGTTAAGTCATATTATATTACCATCCATTCTTTTCTGGATTTTCTCTCTCCTTGACTGCCCCAAGAAAAATGCCACCCTTGGCCGAGTTCGAACCGGCGAAGGTGCGCGTCGCAACCGACGTCTATTAGTCCGCTCGACCACACCGTCCCCCTATTTTATTTATTAAGATTTATGGGCTGAACCGTATTTCTTCCAGTTTTTGAGAAATATCATCTAGATTACCAGCTCCAAACACCATACTCAGTTTATTTAGGTTTTATTTTTGGGAGTACCTATATAAGATGTTGGAAAATAATTTTAATGAAAAAAAAACTTACGAAAATAATTAAACCGAAAAATATTTTATTGAAAATAATTTGATAGAATATAATTGTATTTGAATATAAATGAACTGGAAATAATTTCATAGAAAATAATATTAAGGAAAAAGATAAATACATCGTTGTTCCAATTCCGTTGGCCCGCGTGATCCAATTTCTCCAATCGATTGTGAAAGTTGAACACTCGACTTGCCCACAGCAGAGACTCTATTACTGTAAGGCTTGTCAAGTGTATTTTTCTTTGTGGACAAATCATATTCTTTACGATCTGGACCTCCTTCTAATAGAATAATAGACATGCCGCATAACGCAGCTTCTTTGGGAGAAATGTAATTTAAATTAAATATTGATAAAATTAATTTTATTGTGAAGGATTGAAGAAATATTTAGATAATTTTCAGGCCATAGCACAGCCCATCATGCCGCCGCCAGCTATAACCAGTAGCGTACGTAGGGTTTTACCTGAGTAAATAATTAACATTATTTTTTTGATTTTTTCCTAAACAGTTTTTATATAATTGGTTAAAACAAATTATAGTTAGTCTCAAATTTAGTCTACATTCAGAACACTCGATAGTAAAGGACACCTGGTCATCTATAGAGCTCTTCGGGTCGTAATAATAAACATGGTAATAAATCGATGGACGATGATACATGTTATTGCAGACGTTTAGCAATGTTGTAAACCAACCTAAAAACTGAAACTACGATTATCGACGTGTCTTTGTTATATTTAACAGTTTATTTTATATCTATTAAAAATGACCAACAATTGATCTACTATTCTACTCTGTATTGAAATTGTGATAAATAAGATTTTTTTTTAAAGGAAGACATTTGGGGGGGGGGGGGTTAGAACCCTACCACTGCGTACCCCACAGGCTATAACTATATCATAGTACTTTTTGCTTGAAGAATAATTACCCAGACATTACCCTGGGTCAAATGCAATCGGTTGGCAGATAAGTTTAACGACATCATGTTTGTCTTCAGATGTGTGCTCAAAAAAGATTTAAAAACCATTCTTTGGTACATTTTTTTTCTAACGTATGAACATAAGCCAAAACACATTAACTCCATTATTTTTCATGTGATTTATCGAGTTTTTGCTTAGTATTTGGATTTACCGTGTTTTCGCTTACAAAACATCAAATATATTGGACTTACCGCATATTCTCTTATTTAAGATTTCATTTTTAGATGGGTTTCTATAGAAAATACCATATTTTTACATAAAAATCGGTGTAAAACCACTCATTTTACCTAAAGGAACAAAAAATGGAGATACCCTAGATGCATGGCAGTATAGGTATATACAGATTTTTGAAAGAGATTATTGTTTATAGGTAGTTTATGATGTCTAAGGGGGCATGCCCACTATGCCCCCCCTTAAACTGCGTGCCTGTTCAGACTTGTGCGTCAGCACCAATTCGTCCCCGTGTGTTTGGCAATATGATCCAAGCAGGGGCGTATACAAGGGGGGGATGTGGGGGGGGGGTCAGATCCCCCCCCCCCCATAGGCCTTTTTTTAAATTTTATAAAATAGTGTTCTTAATGACTTAATGTAAGGAAATTACAAGGAAAAAAAATGGCAAGCATTTTTGTAAATTTTTATTTTAACACAATATTCAACAATTAATTAAAAATAATTTACATATAATCGTATAGGTAATCGTATTATGTGATATTTGACAATATATATATTATATATACAAGTATAATAAATTATTATAAGAATAATAATATGTGGCAGACCAGCCACGGGCCGTCGCCACCGTCACCGATATCAACGCGGTGGAGACGATATAATAATACATTTTCCTATACATTAGAAAATGAAATATTATTATGGTATAATATAAGGTTATTGCAAGATGGTTGGAATTTATATCAAAACATTATCAATTTTGTATATTATCAACTAACATGGATATACCTACAACATACTAGCTAATAGCTATCAGTAATTTGTTCATTGAAAGCTAAAAATTGCTTAAATAATAAATATTATTGACTAAAAAAAAAAGAAAATTAAATTTTGTTCTATAATTACTTGTAGAATTTAAAATAAAATGTATTGAATATATTTATGTTTTATCATTTATTAGGTATTTAAATGAGCACATACCTAGGTTAAGGTATTTTCGTTCCATAATAATTTGTTTGCAACTGATCCCCCCCCCCCCCATACAAAAGTTATGTATACGCCACTGGATCCAAGACCATATAACGCAGTGGTGCGAGTGACCAGATGAAAGGAAAAAACAACTTCGCAGGGGCATCAGTACGCCAAATGCTGATGGTTGTTGGACGCTTCTACTAGTGCAGTTAGTTACTTATATATATATATAATGACAAATATTAATCAATTTCTTTTCTATGCATTAAAATGTATGTAAATAAATAATGCATTTTAAACAAGTAAAATATTACTTTTGTCAAATATAAATACCAAAAATTAAATAATACATTTTTATTTTCTATATCTGTGCCTACAACAAATTTATCTTAGATCATATACTTTGGATGGAGCCATGTCCCAATATTTGAAGCACATAATATTATAAGCAACGTGTCGCTGCTTGAGATGTGCTTGTGTACACTCGTAGCATATTTATGTTAATAAATTCATTCTCCGTGAGAATTCATGAGTGATAACTAGTGAAACAAGTGATACATATTATGCTCAGACTTCTATACTCTAGTATAGAAGTCTGTGTAAAAAATAGATGTATGTTACGGTAAAAGTATGAATACCGGTTAAACCTAGGATTTACATTACACTACAGTGCAATTATACAGGTACAAAAATAATATTTTAATAACTTATGAGTCCAGTCAAAATGTACATTTTCACAAATCAAAATCTAGCTGATACTTAATAGTTTTGATTATATTAGATTGATTCAATCAATGTACAATAAAAAAGTTCAAACAATATCAAATAAGATTTTTTATTTTATACATTTTAATTGAGTAAACCAGCCTTGTAAAATTGTCAGTATAATACATATCACGTTTTGGTAATTGTGAAACTAATAATCTGCTGCACTAGTTGCCAGATAATCCCTACGGCCAATATTAGATGCTTGTTTGGTTTGTATTGCTTCTAATTTAGGACAGTCTGTAATCCTGTGGCCCAAACCACCACAATAACTGCAACCTCTTTCATCTAAAATAATAAATATAAGTTTAACATATTCCGCAAAGAAGAAAAAAAAATAGTAAATTCGAACCTCCAAGTTGCAAGTATTTTTCATTTTCTGATTCCAACTCGGACAAAAATAATGGAACATTTTGACGAGCTTCTATTAACAAATGCTTTAAATCTAACAGTACAGATTCATCATTTGCTTTGTTGATAAATGTTGTAGCTATACCAGTTTTACCCGAACGACCAGTTCTACCAATTCTGTGTACTAAATTCAAAAGTAAAATCATTGTTATTGAACATAGAAAAAAATATTCATATTATGTTTCTAATCACAAACCATAGTTTTCTACATCATCAGGCATATCATAGTTGATTACATGCTGTATTTCTTCAAAATCTAAACCTTTTGAAGCTACATCAGTAGCAACAAGCACGTCTTTTTGGCCTTTCCTAAACGCATCGACAGATTTTGAACGTTCCTCTTGATCTAAACATACAAGTGTAAAAATATAATATACAATCATACAGGAAATACAAAACCAACTATACCTTTTCCTCCGTGTATAGCCACAGCTTCAACTCCTTTGAGTAATAAATATTCATGTATTGCATCAACGTCTTGTTTTTTTTCAGCAAAAATTAAAACTGGTGGGGTTGTTTTTTTTAAACATTCTAGCAAATAAACAACTTTTGCTTCTTGTTTGACATACTCTACTTCCTATTATTATATACATTTATTAGATAAAATATGATAAATTAGAAATAAAAATAAAAATAAAAATTTACTTGAATGACATTCATAGATGCTGCACCTGCTCTACCAACATTGATGGTAATTGGTTTGACTAGGGCTGATCGAGCAAAATTTTGAATTTTTTTTGGCATAGTGGCTGAAAACAACAATGTCTGTCTCTGACCCTAAAATATAAATTGATCACATACAATTACTTTTTTTTTTTTTAAGTATATTTACAATCTATACAATAAACAAGGTATTAGGAGCAAGTGTGGTGACATAAGAACATTAGACATAAAGTAATAACATTAAGCGGGCTGGAGCATGATTAACTTTCGGTTGAAAACATAGCTCACGACTTCAATCACTACGCCCAATATAACATTATGAAATAACATTAATTTTGAAAGCAGATTTAAATTTGTCACTAAATTATCTATGCTTTGACTATTTCATTTTTCTGAATTTTGTTTTTTTTTTCTTAGAAATTTACTAACAAAAAGAGTAAAAATAGATCATATTCATAATTCAAATTTAAATACATTGATATAGAATATGAAAATTATAGGACAGTCAAAGCATAGTAAATTTAGAGGAGAATTCAAATCTGCTTTCAAAATTGAAATCGGAACATCCTACTGAGCGTAATGATTGAAGTGGTGACATGTGCATGCGGTAAAATGACAGAAGTGTTATGATGCCCCTATAAAACGTGATAGGTACTTCGAATTACACACACTAATGTTCATTTACTTTCAACACATTCACAAGACCCATATGAACTAAAATATAAAATACCTAGTTTATACTCCTTAGAATGGATTACGCTCCAGCCCCCTAAATAGGAAAGCTCCCACCAGTGCCACCTGACCAGAAATATATACAATTACATCACAGTGTTTGAGATGATGTTTATAAACATTTAAAGATATACTAACTTGAAAAAATGAAAATATAGTTCTCACATCTTCTTCAAAACCCATATCAATCATTCTATCAGCTTCATCCATACAAAGGTAGCTAGTAAATAATATTAATGTTCATTAAATTCATATATTTTAAAAAAGTAAGATTAAAATGTAATAACAAACCGACAAACTTCCAAATTTATCATTTTCTTATCTAACATATCCATTAGTCGACCAGGAGTTGCTACCATTATGTGCACACCTCTAAATAATACAAATAAACATAACCAATATAATATTTATATGTTTATTTATATACATAAAAATAAGGTTGATTGTTTAAAAATTACCTTTTAATAACATCTAGTGATTCAAAAACAGGTATGCCTCCTATAGCTAAACATGATCTTAGTCTTGGGTAATTGGATCGCTCCAGAAATGTCATATAGTGATTAATAATATCAAATGTTTGTTTTGCTAATTCTCTAGATGGACAAATTATTAATCCTATAAAATATGAAACAGATCAAATGTTATTCATTAATTTATTCATAAAATACTAATTATAATACCATAAGGTCCTTCATTAGGCTTGAACGGTAATTTTATTTCTTGTTCTAGACAAAACATCAAAAGTGGCAGTACAAAAACTAATGTTTTACCACTACCGGTAAATGCTATACCAATCATATCTCTTCCAGATAATCTATACATAATAATATATAAATATTTCATTAAATAAATATTAATCTTAACTAATAATGACTGACAAATTTGTTTTGTATAATACATACACAGTGGGAATTCCTTGGATTTGAATTGGTGTTGGTTTTTTAATACCTTTTTGAGAAAGTCCAGCCATAATACCCTTGTTTAATTTCATTTCTCTAAACGATTTGAGAGGAGGAGGAATTTCTTCACCTTCAACTAGTATACGTAATTTAAGACGTACATTTTCATGGCGTTCTTCTGTCATGGCTAAAATATATCGAGGAGCTGTCCAACTAGAATGAACAAATAACATTTATTTAACAAAGTTTTAAAATAAATAGCATTTTAATGTTGTCTTAATCAATGTTTATTGTAACCTTGTTTTAATTGGTTCATCATATTGGATGCCTTTGGCCAACTCAGCCACACCCATCAAGGCTTTTTTTTCTGCAACGCTTTCCAAAATTTTTTCTTCTTCTTTTAATTGTTTTTCCATTTCACTTTCTTTTTTTGCTGTAGTTTACATTACACATTATAGGAATATTCTTATAATATTTAGTAAAAATAAATAATCTTACCTTCGGCAAGTTTCTTAAGTTCTGTATGTTGATCCAAAAGACTAATGTTTGATTTCCTACCCCATACTTGTCCTTCAGTTTCGTCATCATCTAATTCCTCACTAGATGTTTTAACTTTTCCAGACTCTTCTTTAAGCTAAAAAAATTTTAAATACTACAGATATAATTCACTGATTAATCTATTTGAAATAATAAAAAATATAAAATTAATATTACCTTTGAGAGTCTACCTAATTTGAGTAACTCTTGTTTTTTCCGTTCTCTGACGGGCACATATGGTACATATTCATCATCGGAATTGGATTCTGCATCATTGTCCCTTCGATACCTCTGAAGCAAATAACAAAAATTAAAAATAACTGTTCAATAGTGAACATTTTAAATACAATAATTAAATTATTATAATAGCATTTGAGAAACAATGGTGTGTAAGTCATTATTACCTTATGCGGTACCTTGAATTCGGACATTATTATATGAAATGTTAAACTATTAATTGAACCTATAAAAAAAAACAAATAATAATATTTCAGTTTAAGAGTTATGTTTGCATTTTGCAAATCCGAGTAACGCGAACGACTCGAATCGTGCAAGTAGCTAAACAAGTAAACAATAACTCAAATCAAAATATTATATTTTATCATCTCCTGCGATAAGAAGATAACGGATGATAACTCTTGATAAGCGCTATCGTCAGAGAAAAACTACATTATGAGATACCAACGATAACCTACGAACCACAAAGAAGAGATCGCTAGACTACTAGATCAGCTACAATAAGATCCAGTAGGCTACATAAATATCTTCTCGTGTCCTGCACATATTATAATTTTCTTCTCTTGTATCGTTAAAGTTCAGATGGTACAGAAAAAAAATTCTATAGTTCTGTGATAGGTCACAGAACAATAAATAAGTATTAATCAGGTCATAAAATTGATGGACATTATTTACCATTTTACCGTGTTTGGCAGCAGTGGGCCGTTCCCACTCCCCCGTGGCCCAGTCGATCGTCAACGATCTACTATCTTAAATCGTACCGATCACGGCCATCACCGTCCGGACGCCGATATCGTTAATTGTTTCCAGTTTTCCAGTCCATTATATCTTAATTGATTTAATTCGACTTATTTCTTATATGGTGCGTGCGGTGTTAACAGTACAAAATATCATAATTATATTTTTATTTGTATCTCAATAAGATCGCAGAGGTAAGTTTGGAAATAGCCGGAAGTACGTTATGATACGGACCATGGTCGGGCGTTCGGACACGACGGAAAGAAGACATAAACAGACGTCGAAAAGGCATGAACAGTAAGTGTCAATCAAAAAAAAATGTAGATAGGTATTTTGTAGATATCTCTTGCTGTGAGCAGTACTGCAGTGGGTAGGCACGAAGAGTAAGTGTCAAACAAAAGAAAATGTAGTTAGGTATTTTGTAGAAATCTCTCTGAGCAGTACTGCAGTAGATAGGTGTAAGGTACCCGTTGTGAAATCGTTGACATCTAGGTACCTGTCAGACTTGTGCTTGGTGATCGAAATGATGCTTCGTTTTTTATAACAATTATAAACGTCGTCGTTTGATGCATTGAATTGCGGCAATTGTGTGTGTTTCCGGTATTTTGATGATCCCTAGTTTCAACGCTAGGTACCCACGTTGAATTCAACAGTTAAACTTTGTATGTTTTTATGTGTCGACTCCCTAGACCCCGTTAAAACGTTTTATGTGATCGAATGAGACTTGGGCTGTATTATAAGTTTTCTTCGATAGTAATGTGTGACAGTATTTTTGTGGGATTTCAAATAATTTGCTCTATAAGACTCAAGTAAAACAATGCCATAGACATTAGACAGTGTTTGGGATTCTCAATTCCTTTGCCCCTTTTTTTTTCATAATGTTGAATCACTAGAATCTAGTATACCTAATCTTATACTAATGACAATCTACTAGTTGAGTACCTACTTGATAAATATTCGACATCAACGCAGTTTAGCTTCCTGGCCATTTGTTGAATTTTTTTTTTTAAATTTGCATGCTTAATTTGATGGTATTTAAAAAAAAAAAATGTTATTCGTAACCTTTCGTAACCTTATAGTTATGAGTTACGATTGAATACAATTAATATTCTAGTAATATTCAATATTTTATTTGCTGAAAATTGTTTAGAACAGTAATACAATATAAATAAAACATATGTTTATTGTTTTTAATGATATACTTCTTGAAAATTTTATCTAAGGGCCGATTTCACCAACACAGTTAATCACGGTTAACGCTTAATCGGCTGATAACAGATATTTAACTGGCCAAATTCGGCCGATTAAAACTCCGGTTAACCTTAACCGTGATTAACTGTGTTGGTGAAATCGGCCCTTAGACTATTATTATATTTATATATTAATTATAATTTAACTTAATGTTAGCTAATCTTAATTTTTTGAGTATATGGTTTTAAAATCTAAATTATTTTATTTGGTTATTTTATTACTCAATTTAATTTATAATACAATTGTAGATACCTATTTTCAAAACAGTATATTTTAATATTCTAAATTTTAAGAAGTTGACAACTTCATTATTTTTGTTATTTTATATCAGATAATCATAAAATGAATAATAGATGTATTCTATTTTCTCAGTTGGTTTAAACATTATTGTGCAATAAAATTTAAATTATACTGATTACAAATGTATATCTTAGGTACAAGAAAAAACTGCGATTTCAGTGTAACAACTCATTTAACTCCAATGATAAATGTGTAGGCCTTATTAGTTTGTTTGAGCAAAATGTGATTATATAAGCTAATCATTATCATTTATCACTTACCATTGTTTTTGCCGAGGTTTTAGCTGTTAGGAAATTAATAATATATTTTGTGTATATTCTGATATTCGTAGGTTACTTACTCTAAAATCAATTTTGATGGTTAGGTATTTGACCCAAAAAATAATAAGAAAAAGTTAAATTTGACTAGGTAGGTATTTTTTTTTTTTTGATAAACTACTGATATATTTATCTACCATTCCTCCTGACTTTAACAATAATAATTGAATCTAAATATATGTTTTTTATGGAATATCCTGCAAGGCATAAAGCTTTTACATAACTAGTTGTTCTCATTTTCATAGTTAGTTAATATCCAGACGACATCCAGCTGATGATAGGATAATCCTACAATTAGTAAGAATTTTATTTAATTATACATCTGATTATTTATACATAACTATAACATGAAATAATTAAAACAGTACCTACCTAAATGTTTCATATTTTTTATTAAGATTATTAATTTATACTTTATTAAGTATAAGGTGCCTTTAAAAAATGGAGTGTTTTGTTTATGCATCGGTACTATGTACCTATGATCTCAACCTTATGAAAATTATTATATTTCTAAAATAGAATTTTTCAAGTTTCCTAGCTGTACCTACCGAAATTAATATTAAAATAAAAATATTGAAAATTTTATCATTATTATTATACTATTGTTATTGTTAATTTACATTATTTATCGTGTACGCAAGTGATTTCTTTTTTAATAAGTGTAAAAACATCAATATCAAATCAGTTTTTAATATTTTACAGTAAATTAAAAAAAAAATAATCTATATTTATTTTTGTAAGTGTAATTTTCTAGAATTTGACGTCAATTTCAAATTTCTTAATACATTTTGAAAAAAAAAAAAACACTGATTTAAGTCATTCAGTTAACGCCGATGTAGTAAGCATAAACGCTCTTGGTAAGTGTATTAAACTAAAACTAAACTTTTACGTGAGGTTATTCTTTATTAAATTATACTAAAACAATAATCGTTTATTAGGGTAATTCATTTTTTCGCCATATTATGAATAATAATAATATGTGTATTTTTAAAAAACTTTAATAATCTTACTTCTATTTGTTGATCAAACGTATTTACATATATATTTTTTTTTCAGAAATCCTGCTGTTTGTTGACAATTAATTGTAACAGATATTGGTAAAAGCCTATGAGTCATGAAGCATCATGTCTCCTACAGGCGCACCGGCTTTACCACCTCGTAAACTATCACAAACAAATCGCCCTCAATCTGTCCAATCAATTGCAACTAGACTGAAAAATCCATCACTAGAACCCAGTTGCATAGAAGAAGCAGAATGGTATTGGGGCGACATAACCAGAGATGATGTACAAGAAAAACTTGCTGACAAGCCTGATGGTACGTTTCTGGTTCGAAATGCATCAAATAAGGCTGGAGAGTATACTTTGACATTAAGGAAAGGAGGAACCAATAAATTAATAAAAATATATCACAAAAATGAAAAATTTGGTTTTTCAGAACCTTACAATTTTTCTTCTGTTATTGATCTTGTGAACCATTACCGTAAAGTTTCTTTGTCGCAATATAATGCAACATTAGATGTAAAGTTATTGTACCCTGTGTCCAGATTTCAACAAGATGAAGAGTTTGGTACTTGGAAAAGTTTAAATGTAGATGTTGTATGGATGCGTTTGATCGAACTGCTTAAAGATATTTTGAAGAAATCTATTTCATATGAAAAATTGTCTAAAGAATTTCAGACTGCAATGGTCGATATATCGTCAATGCGTATGGGACTGCAGCAGTACCAGGAAGTGAATAGAATGTTTGAAGATCAGTTAAGAGTACATGATAAATTTCTTAACGAAGCTGAACGCCATGAATCTGATAATCTAGTTAAAAATATTGAAATAGTAAAGAGACGAATTAAGTTACTGCTAGACAGCAAAGCGGTACTTGAGGAGAAATTAGTCACGTATGTTTTTTTTAAAAATATATATTATGTTATTTGATATTAAATGTACTTATTTTGTTTTTAGACAAGTGGACTATAGTCAAACATTGGAGCGGCAAATGTATCAATTAAAACAAGAAGGTGCAGTAGTCACACGTAAAAAAGATAAATCAGTTCGGTGGTTATTAAACCATGGTGTGGCTTATGAAGCAATTCATCGAGTGTTGAACGGTACTGATTGGAATACTTGTAAGCCTGAAGATATTCAACTGCCTCAGAACCTCTCTCATTTAGATGAGGGTACTTGGCTGCTGCAACCCTGTTCACGTGTAGATGCTGAGCGTCTGTTAAATGGCAGGCGCAATGGAACATTTTTGATACGACCTAGTCGTACAGGGCAATCAGCATTATCTATAGTTTGCAATGGAGTTGTAAATCATTGTATAGTGTACAGTACTCCAAAAGGATTTGGATTTGCTGAACCTTACAATATATATTCTTCTCTAAAAGATCTAGTCATGCATTATTCTCAAACTTCCTTAGAAGAACATAATGATTCTCTGACAACTACATTAGCTTACCCCGTGATTGCTGAAAATGACAAAAAATTAAATGAGTAGCATATTACCAGTATCAATAAGCATGCAATAGTGTTTATGCAATTTGGTGATTCAATTTTTGTGATAATAATTACCTATTAAATGTTAATTATTTACTAGTATTAACGAGTTATTTAATGAGGAACAATATTTTTCATATAAGTGTGCATTGTTAAGATATATTATTGATGAAATTATATTTTAACTTATTTATAATTATTATACTAATACCAACTTGTTTTCTTTTGTGTCCAAATATTTATGTAAAAATTATTTGTGTATAGTATACATTAAATTATGTTAAAAATATTATAAATTTATACAATTTAACAAATTATTTTTTGTTAAAAAATATGTGTTTTTATTTTTATATTCTAATAAATTAGAATAACAATAATGAAAATTTATTTATTCTCACCCAGTGAGAACATTTATTATAATGGACACTAACAAGAGTAATTTAAGCTTTCTGCTATTAGTTTTTAAATTTTTTAAAAGCATATTTGTGATAAGTATATTATATTGTTTAATACTCTTTTAAATAGTTTTTTTTTTATAATATGAAAATGCAAAAATTATAAGTTAGTTGTCACATAACTTGAAAAATAATCATATGTTATATTGTGCTATGAAGTACTTACCTTTTCAAGTAGATTATATTCTAAAGTCTAATTGTTAGTAGTACATAATAACCCAAAGGCTAAAATTGACCAAACATGGGGAAAATACCAAATGAACTAAAATATATCACATTTTTAATTTCTCACAAAAAAAAAAAAAAAATGTTTTTAGCCCTAAAAGTTAAAACTATGTTTGTTGATTAAAACCTATCATAAATTATCTATAATATCTACATTTACAAATAAACAGAAACATAAATGGATAAAATTAAACTTTTCCTTGCCTAACAATTAATAGACCTAACCTAATCATAATTAAAAATAAATTCAGATGAAAATAGCCTCGAGTTTAATTAATGTTGCAACGATAGTAAAAATAAAATTCACTTAACAAATGTTAAAAGTCTAAAAACAGTGGTATATTGCTGACTTGTGTAAGCTTCCTATTTACTAAATATAAACAGAAAATCTTGACAAAAAAAATTATGGTATATTTCTGCTTTACCGGACACCCTTTTTTGTTTTAACGTATGCATTCTGAAAACTATGGTAAAGTTAGAATTTGGCGGTCAGACTTAATTTTGAAGTTATAGCTATTTGAATTCCGATACCTACCCAAGGTTGTATACATAACAAGTCAAGAAATGTTTTCCAATTTATTTGTCCGAGCTAGACGCTAGCGCGACCACCCAGGGTGTTTATGAAAATACTATTATTCATTTCAATTACCTAAGTTATAACTTAAAAACTTGGTCTGACTGCCAAATTCTGACTAAACTATTGTTTCAGAATGCTTAACTACATATTACGTTAAAATAAAAAAATTACAAATAAAGGGTGACCGGTACAACAGAAATGTTCCATCTAAACAAATTAATATTTTTATTGTAGTATAAACATAAAAGATATATTAACAAAATGTTCAATAGTTCTAATGTGATTTCTTTTTATAAATCTTGCAGTCTTGGCCGTACAGTGTACACGTACATGGTACATATACATAAATACATTTTTGAGTTTGGGGGGGGGGTTCATAAATAAAAAGATATTTTCGTTAATTAATCTTATATTAATATTGAAAAATAAATCGTGTACACCTACAATATAAATTATAATTATACGCATATAATACAATTAATTAAGTGTATTCTTGCAGTTGCTTGACCGGGATGACAGAAAGTATTCTTGAAAACATTTAGAGTGGGAAAGGGGGTTGGACTCCACCATGTACACGTGCCTAGATGTACCCTTATTATTTCTATTTTTGTGATTCGAGTACAGATATACTGGATAACATTATTGCATATTTGCATGTGATGATTTCCTGTGGCCTTCCAGATTCCGAATGCCGACGGCTAATATATCTCTTTACATTGACAGTTGCCTGTCCAGATAAAAACGCCGTTCGTGATCGAGGTTCGAACCGGCAACGTTTTTTTTTCTAATGCGATTAATAGGCAATCATCTTTAGATCTGTAGATACTCAGAAGTCAGGGATCAATAATATTATGCAAATAAATAATATTTGACAAATCAAATTCAGGATTGATTGCTATCATATTGGAAATTTGGAAATAGGTTCAGTAAAGATTATTTTGCATCTCCTATTATTTATTTACTATAGTACATTATTACGTAAGTGCCTTATTTACTTTATTACGTAGGTACCTAATTTAATTAAAATGGTATATTTTTAATAGGAAATAGGCATATGTACACTGCACATACGTCATACATATAGTCAATATAATAGGATCTAAAATAATTACTATTATTATTAGCAATCGGAGTCGTATAAGGTACACTAATTTTCTGAAATTTGACTGGCCAATAAAATAACATATGTCATGGCCACATACGATTCTACAAACAATTCGTGATTATAAATGTCGTATCACGTATGTAAATCAACATTTTTGTGTGTCTGACTTAGTAATATGTAATATAATCTTAAATATTTGTTTGTACCATTTTGTATGACTTATTGACTTCCGCATTTTTTTTAGTATTTTTACAAACAAGATTATTTATTTTTTATAGGTTAGGTATATAAATATATAATACTTATTACTGTAGTACTTATTATTCTTTACATTACAATTAATAATAACCTTTTTTGTAGCCCCTGTTGTTTTTTATTTAATGTATCTTTACTTTATTAACACTAACGAGGTAATGAATGACGATAGAAGTGCATAAGCGCCATAAGGTCTCGACATACTTTACATTACCAGTCGACATCAGAGTTATGATGGTTAGTCTATCAAATTTCAAACTTGTGATTACATTTAGATCTTAGCGATTTTTATTTAACGAACTATCTGTTTTTAGTGATATCAGCTCTTGCTGTAAGGTTTCGTCAATGATTATTTAACTGTTTTTCCTATGGCCCTTAAATGTTCAAAATTTAACCATAAACATTAACATGAAAATTAATCGTTTTTAACTTATTTTATTTTAGAGAAGACAATTTTGAACGTCGAAAGCCACACAATCATCGGGACAACAACAAATCCCCCGAACGACAGCACCGAAGACATAATTCAAATTCCGACTATGATGATCGTAGAAAAAGACCAAGGCATGATCGCAGGGACAACTCGAGACATCAAGACAGGTCAGATTCTGATCACGTGTGGGGCACTAAAGACTCGTCGTCTAGTGAAAAGAAACCAGTAGCGAAAAAAGAAGAACCAAATTTTGAAACTACTGGCAAGTTAGCCGAGGATACAAATACTTTCAATGGCGTAGTTATAAAGTACAGTGAGCCAGCTGAGGCGAGAAAACCGAAACGACGCTGGCGATTATACCCGTTCAAAGGAGAGAAACAATTACCTGTATTACACATACACAGACAAAGTGGGTATTTACTCGGACGTGATCGTAAAGTGGCGGACATACCAATAGATCATCCGTCGTGCTCAAAACAGCACGCAGCTCTTCAATACAGGCTAGTTTCGGCCAAAAAAGATGGGCGCCGTGTCAGATGTATTCGGCCGTATATTATTGATTTGGAGTCAGCTAATGGCACTTATGTTAATAACCAGCGTATAGACTCAAAAAAATACGTGGAATTGATGGAGAAAGACGTCGTTAAGTTCGGGTTCAGTTCCAGGGAATATGTGCTTTTACATGAACATAGCACGGATTCTGGAGATGATGATAGTCTTGCCGAAGACAATCCAAACGAGGAATCCAATGCAGATTGAATGTAAAACGTGTTTTAAGGAATTAAGAGGTTTTCTTATTTTTTTAACTGTAAATAAAATTATTTTGATACGAAAAAATCAAACCAAGATCAACATTTAATTTCTTGCGATTTAAATAATTACCATTGCACAATGAAATATAATTTTGTTTGTGTACCTATATAATACATTGCACGTTGCCTGGTGTGGCTCGGAGGTTGGCCTCAGTCACTAACGTATTCTGAGGTCAAGCATCGGCCGACGCGTCGTTAGTTGCCGGATGGGTGTCCTCCACCCGGATTTTTATTGACGAATCCTCGCCTCACATACACGTGTTCATCAACCAACTGTAAGTCTGTAACCCCCTTCAAAATGCCAATGGCCATATTTGCCGATGTTTCTTAAGATAAATAATAATAAAAAATAAATACAATGAATATTTTTGTAAACAATTTTATGACCTAATAATAAAATAAATTTTATTTCATATTAAATGATGATATATTAAATTTAATAATCCTGTCTCTGTTATGAACATTATTTAGTAGGTACATTTTTTTATACCTTATATTAAAATCTAAGAATTTAAATAATATGAGCAGACAAATTTTAATAATGTGGATAGATGGTTTAACAAGTTTTTGACTTTGGTCACAACATAAGATTTAAAATGTTCCTTTATAATAAAATATTAAAATAATTTCTTCTTCGGGTAAACGGCTCGCGCGAGGACCATACCGTCAAACACCCTTCCCTCCAGCCATTAGTTATACTGTGGTTAAACATACGGTTAACTTAGGGTTTACACATAGTGGCCTTTTTACTTTAGAAATTCCTTGGAAAAAAATATCGTAAGACAAGACGTAGGTACTTCCCGAAAAAATAGATCCAATTCGGGAACCAACGGCTAGACGAAAAAAGGAAAAGTCTCGCAGACTGTTCTGAGTAAACTTGTATAAGTAGGTATTATGACTGATACACTATAATAAATTATATTTAATATGTACGTATCTATTATTGTATTAGTGAAACAATTGCATTTTTAATTACTTGACCCGACTAATATAATAATTATTCTAACTTGTGCTATATTATAATAGGTACTATAATTTTGTTGTAGGTAAATCACAAAGATAAGATTTTGTAGCACTGGAGTAAACTCATTTTATGTGTAAGATGTTTAATAAATTAATATGATTAGTGATGAAAAGGA